AAGAAGGAAGGAGAAGAAGAAGAGGGAGAAGAAGAAGGAGAAGAAGGAAGGAGGAGGAGGAGGAGGAGGAGGAGGAGGAGGAGGAGGAGGAGAAGAAGAAGAAGAAGAAGAAGAAGAAGAAGACATCCTGTGAGGTGGGTGGGGCTGAGAGAGCTCTGACACAAACAGCTCTTTTTCAAGGACAGCTCTGCCAAAACTACGGCTTGCCCAAGGTCACCCAGCAGCTGCAAGTGGAGGAGTGGGGGAATCAAACACGGCTCTCCCAGATTAAGTCCACGCACTTAACCACTACACCAAACTGGCTCTCAAACCGGTTTCCCCAGAGAGCAGAGCCTGATGGGAGACATTTCCCCAGGGCACCCTGCTCCACACCCTCTCCACCCCTCACCTCGCAGAGCCCACCTGCTGCTCTGCGTTCTGGCTGATGTTCCAGAGATGCCCAAGACGCCCCGCCAGACCCCTCACCTGTCCTTGACCTGCAGGAGGTAGCAGACGAGGCAGTAGCCAGCACAGCTCTGCACAAAGTTGCGCTGGGCGGTCAGGAAGGCCTCGGTGGTGTAGCTGCCGTGCTCCTGCAGGAAGTAGTCCAGCAGCGAGAGCTGGGACTGCTTCTTCACCTGGTGGATGGAGACGGCGTTGACCACGGGCTCGATCATGCCGCTGTCCGCCGAGATGACGAGGATCTTGTATGGCTTGATCCACAGCGGGACCCGCTCCTGCTCCCAGATGGCCTGGAAGGGAAAGGGGTAAGGACATCAGGAGGAGGAGGAGGAGGATTGGATTTATACCTCTGCCCATCACTACCCGAAGGAGTCTCAGAGGGGCTCACAGTCTCCTTTTCCTTCCCCTCCCCACCACGGACACCCTGTGAGGTCGGTGGGGCTGGGAGAGCTCTCTCGAGATCTGCCCTTGAGAACAGCTCTGAGAGAACTTGTGACTGACCCAAGGTCACACCAGCAGCTGCATGTGGAGGAGTGGGGAATCAGCCCCGGTTTCTCCAGATTACAGTCTGCGCTCCTAACCACGACACCGGACTGGCTCCTGCCACATCAGAGCAGTGGTCCATCAGGTCCAGCCTCCTGTCTCACACAGGGGCCAACCAGTTCCTCTGAACAGCCAGCAACGGGGCAGAGAGGCCGAGGCCTTCCCCTCATGTTGCCTCCGGGCTCTGGGATCCAGAGGTTCATTGCCTCTGAATGTGGATGGTTCCCCTCAGCCACCACGGTCAGTAGCCCTTGATAGACTTATCCTCTAGGAGTCTATCTAATCCCCCTTCAAAGCGGTTTATTCCCGTGGCAAGTAATGGTTTGAGAGATGTTCTTCTCCATTACTTATGCAATGAAATAGGTGGTAAGTAGGTTTAAACATTTTCTTTCTCACATAGGCTTTGGTTCTATACAATTATACTTAGTTAGTTATCCAGTCTGGTTTCATTGCTTTGCTATATATTTTTTAGAAACTACTGAACTCCATGTGAATTGGGCAGCTTTTCCATTGAAGTGCAATTTTTCATACATCATCAAGTAAGGCTTTGAACCAATACTATGTTATTTCGATGTACAATTACAAAGATGCAAGTATTGACGTCGACATATATATTATATTATTTCTAAGCTTATAGACTCTTGGTTAGAAGAAGATGTTTGTCGAAATGGCATCGCATTCCGGAGACCACCGACTCGTCGTTGTCAACTTCTATCTTTTTGTATTTGAACTTACAATTTGAATGTATTACTATTAAAGTAAAGGTAAAGGTTCCCTTGCTCGAAAGCCAGTCGAGTCCGGCTCTAGGGTTGCGGTGCTCATCTCCGTTTCAAAGCCAAAGAGCCAGTGCTGTCCGAAGATGCTTCCATGGTCATGTGGCCGGCATGACTAAACACCAAGGCGCACGGAACGCTGTCACCTGCCCACTGAAGAAGTACCTATTTATCTACTTGCAATGTCTTGCTTTCGAACTGCTAGGTTGGCAGGATTACTATACTATACTATACTATACTATACTATACTATACTATACTATACTATACTATACTATACTATACTATACTATACTATACTATACTATACTATTACTATTACTTGTGTACATTTCATAATTACAACTCTACGGTTTTTGTTAAAGAAAGATTGAGCGCACTGTGTACAGTTAAGAACATAAGAACATAAGAGACGCCAACGTTGGATCAGGCCAAAGGCCCATCCAGTCCAACACTCTGTGTCACACAGTGGCCAGAAATACCAGGGGCCATCAGGAGGTCCAGCAGTGGGGCCAGGACATTAGAAGCCCTCCCACTGTTGGGCCCCCCCCCAAGCACCATGAAGACAGAGCATCACTTGCCCCAGAGCCCCTAGCTATACCTTGTGGCTAATAGCCACTGATGGACCTCTGCTCCATATGCTTATCTAATTCCCTTTTGAAGCCGTCCATGCTTGTAGCCCCCACCACTTCCTGTGGCAGTGAATTCCATGTGTTAATCACTCTTTGGGTGAAGAAGTACTTCCTTTTATCCGTTCTAACCCGACCGCTCTGCAGTTTCATGGAGTGCCCACGAGTTCTTGTATTGTGAGAAAGGGAGAAAAGTACCTCTTTCTTTACCTGCTCTTGTGGTTCTATCTTTGCATGACTACGGACTGTGACCATATTTGTTTCCTGTTGTATTTCTACCCAGTGTGTTTGAGCTCCTTGTATCCTGCTTGCTTCCTGCACACCACCATTCGTTTAACTTGCTGCTCCCCACGCCATTATCGCTCGCCCTCACCTGCCATTGCATTCCTGGGGGGGGGGAGAGTGAGTGGCCTGTAATCACTTAGAAGGCTAGCTTCGGCAATACTTCCATGGGGCCTCAAAGACATCTTTCACACGGGAAGTGTCCTTGAAGCAGAGTCTGTGTCTGGCTAGTCGTGGACCGGATATCTTTCATGGTCTTTGTAGTAATGCAGACATGTATGAGTGGGATTTTGGGGTTGTAACTATACGTGGCTTTCCCGCCTTTGCACCTCTGAGTCTGAACCCAGAGCATCTCACATCTCTCAAATAAAACATTCACTGAAAAAAGTGCGCGTGGAGAGCGATTTGACTGGGAACCTGACGCCTACTGCCCATCAGCCTCATTGGGCGCCCCCGAGTTCAAGTATTTGAAGTATTATATTCAAGTATTATAGCTTTGGAAAAAGTGCAGAAAAGGGCAACTCGAATGATAAAAGGGTTGGAACACTTTCCCTATGATGAAAGGTTAAAGCACTTGGGGCTCTTTCACTTGGAGAAACGACGACTGAGGGGTGACATGATCGAGGTTTATAAGATTATGCTTGGGATAGAGCAGGTAGAGAAAGAGGTACTTTTCTCCCTTTCTCACAATACAAGAACTCGTGGGCACTCCATGAAACTGCAGAGCGGTCGGGTTAGAACGGATAAGAGGAAGACCTTCTTCACCCAAAGAGTGATGAACACATGGAATTCACTGCCACAGGAGGTGGTGGCGGCTACAAGCATGGCCGGCTTCAAAAGGGAATTAGATAAGCATCTGGAGCAGAGGTCCATCAGTGGCTATAAGCCACAAGGTATAGATAGGGACTCTGGGGCAAGTGATGCTCTGTCTTCATGGTGCTTGGGGGGGTGTCAGTCAACAGTGGGAGGGGCTTCTAGTGTCCTGGCCCCACTGGTGGACCTCCTGATGGCACCTGGTCTTTTTGGCCACTGTGTGACACAGAGTGCTGGACTGGATGGGCCTTTGGCCTGATCCAACATTGGCGTCTCTCTTATGTTCTTATTTGGGTAGAGGGAGAAAAAGTTCCCTTTTGTCAATTCTCTCCACCCCATGCATCACTTTATAAGTCTCTATCAGGCCCCCGCCTTTATTCGTCTCTTTTCTAAACTGAAAAGTCTTAGACTCTTCGGCCTAGGGTCATCCAGATCTAGCCACAGGAATTCCATGTGTTAGTAACATCCAGACTGGATTACTGCAACCAATGTTCCCTCTAAGCTGTGGAGTCTTGTGAGCAGAAATTCTACTTTGTGAGCTAATGGCGCTAAAGTTGTGAGTGAGTGATTTGGCTGCTGTATAAATCAGTTTGCTCTGGAGCCCTCCTTCCTGAGCTGGGATAAAAATGTGTGAGCTGGGATAAAAATGTCTAAAAAACTGTGAGCTAGCTCACACTAACTCAGCTTAGAGGGAACACTGACTGCAACATATTCTATTTGGGACTGCCCTTGAAGAGAGTTCAGGGGCTACAGGTAGGGCAGAATATTGCAGCTGGACTGCTGCTTGGGGCCAGCTACTGGGGGCTGGTGTGACTCCCCGATACTACAGCAATGGCACTGGCTATCAGTTTGCTCCCGATCCCAATTCAAGGTGTTGGTTGTCCAGGGCTCTTTTTGTAGAAAAAGCCCAGCAGGAACTCATTAGCATAACAGGCCATACCCAACAGCAGGAACTCAGTAGCCTATTAGGCCACACCCCTGACAGCACAGCTTATTAGCCTATTAGGCCACACCCCCGTGTTACCAGAAGTGTGCTCATCCAGCCACACCCACCTTTTGCCTCTTATTCTGTTTACCTTGTTTGTTGTCCAAACCCAGGGCCTTTTTTGTAGCAGGAACTCCTTTGCATGTTAGGCCACACACCCCTAATGTAGCCAATCCTAATGAGTTTCTGCTGTTGGGTGTGGCCTATTGCGCTAATGAGTTCCTGCTGGGCGTGACCAACTCGGGAGCCAGCCAGAACTCCGTTCCTGTGCGTTCCTGCCCAAAGATAGGCCTGGTTGTGTCATTTACAGACCTACATGGCTGGGAACCGGGCTATCTGAGGGACCGCCATCTCCCATACGGTCCCGGATGGGGATGAAAAATCACGGGTAGAGGCCCGAGTCGTCACTGTCCCACCAATCAAAGAGGCTCATCTGATGAGTGCACAGGACAGGGCCTTTTCGGGGGCAGCCCCACGATTATGGAACAATCTCCCCAGGGAGGTGCGCCCGGCCCCCTGGCTTTCGATCTTCATGAGGCAGCTGAAGGCAGTTTTATTTGGGACTGCGTTTCGTTAAAGTGGTCTTAACCCATACAAAAGAGCCAGAGTCCAGGAGCACCTTAAAGACTAACGAAACATGTGGCAGGGGAGGAGCTTTCTGGAGAAGTGGGCAGTGACTCACGAAAGCTCCTCCCCTGCCACGAATTGTGTTAGTTTTTCAGGTGCTGCTGGACGCTTGCTCTTCTCGACTGCTACGGACAGACTCACACGGCCACCCATCTCGGTCTTAAGCTGTGATGTAAACGTTTTTGGTTTTATGTATTTTTATATATACTTTATCTTGTGTGTTTGATTTATATCATAAGCTGCCTCGAACTCCCTAAGGGGAAAAGGTGGTTAATAAATGTTTTAAACAAATGGAACAAAATGGGCTTCTTGCCGTCCCAAAGGGCTTCCCATGCACCAGTCCCTGTTAATTCCATGCGGAATTTAAAGGGCCCCTCCCCAGACTGTGGGGTGGACAGGACTAGGAGGTTCTTTAGCACCCCGAAACCCCCCCCCCCCCGGGGACCCCCGGGGGGGGAAAGAGCTCCGGTCACCTGCAGCTGCTTGAGAACCTGGAATGCCAGCAACTCTTGGCGGAGATCGTCCCCACATTTCACGATCACGGAGAGGAGGCGCCAGTTGGGGAGGTGTCCGTACGGGGAGCCCTCCCGGATCCGCCTGCAGAGAAGAGGCAGAAGGAGTCAGGGCTTTCCAGGCCCGGCTTACAAGAGGCATGAGCCCATACATAAAACCAGATAAAACAGTAAAATCATGAATACTAATAACAATAATAAAGTGCTTTCTGTAAACAAGGCGGTCTTGAGTGGTTTTGATGGCGTCCTCAATCCTCCCCATTTGGGTGGCACTGTCCAGCAGATAGTTCGAGCCAATCCCACATTCAGTGCCATGCAATTTATGGCGGAACTTCCTGTCGAAAGCCTGGCGGAAGAGCTCTGTCTTGCAGGCCCTGCGGAACTCCTCCGGGAGCTCGTTCCACCAGGTAGGGGCCACCACTGAAAAGGATCTAGTCCTGGTCGCAGGAAGCTTTACCTCCCGGGGGCCTGGAATCACCAGGCGGTGTTGGGTCCCCGACCGAAGTGCTCTTGGGGAAAGGCGGTCCCTCAGGTAAGTCGGACCCTACCCACAACAGACACCCTGTGAGGGAGGTGGGGCTGAGAGAACTCTCTCGAGGACTGCCCTTGAGAGAACAGCTCTGAGAGAACTTGTGACTGACCCAAGGTCACACCAGCAGCTGCATGTGGAGGAGTGGGGGAAATCAAACCCGGTTCTCCCAGATTAGAGTCTACACTCCTTTCCCCTTCCCCTCCCCACAACAGACACCCTGTGGGGTAGGTGGGGCTGAGAGAACTCTGACAAAAACGGCTCTTTTTCAAGAACAGCTCTTGTCAGAACTATGGCTTGCCCAAGGTCATCCAGCCAGGTGCACATGGAGGAGTGGGGAATCAAACCCGGTTCTCCCGGATTAGAGCCTGCCGCTGTTAACCACAACACCAGATTGGCTCCCTGGGCCATTCTGAAGAGAGATCTCATTAGCGGAGAGATTTTTTACCTGACTTTCTCCTGCCATGGTTCCTTCAGGGCAACGGCAGAGGGATCCTCGGGGTCCCTCTTGAACGACGTCGGAGTGTGGGCCAGCTGCTCTGAGAGGCGCCGCCTGCACAGGGCACAAAAATAAGTTGTGGTGGTGATATGGCTACACCTATGGCCCATCACTAATACCAGGAGTCCAATTATAAGTAGACAAGGAAACAACATCTGGTGTAATTATATGTGTATTAGAATTCTGTAACAGGTCTTTGAATGTGTGTCTAGAATATATAGATAATAGTGACCACTGAGGAAGGCCCTTAGGGGCCGAAACGCGTTTGGTCTTCAGTTGTAAAATTTTTTACCCATCATTTGTATGTATAGTGGACAAGCTTTTACAGTCTGATCTTAGACAAAGCAATTTTTAATCAGGAAAGTTTTAACACGTGTACACCTTAATAAATATTTGTACTTTTTTATATATATGGTTTAGCTTAGCCCTATTTGGTTCACAGTTTTCTACTGCCACCAGGAATTAAAAATTCCAAATCTCTCTCTTTTGGTAGAATGACCCAGGGACTGGGGACTTCAGAGGACTATGTGGCCATGAGAAAGGACTATTCTGATTTCTGGCATACGTTTAAACAAAATTTGATTTATTTAATAAAGAACAAAATAGGTTTCTGGTTATTTTGAACTGTTGCTGAAAAAAGGAACTTGTAAGTGTAGCTGGCAAAACTTGGTGTTACAAACAGACTTCACTCTGACAGGCATAGACTCTCAGTATAATCTTTCTCTCTCTTATATACAGTCACACAGACTAAACTGTCCATCTTATTCACCTAGAATTAGACTCAAAATTCCATAGTCACGCAGACTATGCTCACTCTTCCAACTTCACACACGGAACTCTGTCATAAAACACAAGAGTCACACAGACTCTCTGCAGAACTCTTCCATACTCGTCTCCAGTGTTCCCTCTAGGCTGAGTTGGTGTGAGCTAGCTCACAGTTTTTTAGCCTCCGGCTCATACATTTTTCTCTTCGCTCAGGAAGGACGGCTCCAGTGCAAACTAACTTATGCAGGGGCCAAATCACTCGCTTACAACTTTCATGCCAGTAGCTCACAAAGTAGGATTTTTGCTCACAGGACTCCACAACTTAGAGGGAACATTGCTCGTCTCTCTTGTATCACAGAATCTCCTCACAGACACACACACAGAATCCTCTCGGACACCCCTCCTCCCACCCTCTCAGTCATCAGCCAGTCAAATGAAACTTGTCTCCCTCTATCGCTTCTCTCATATGACCACAGTCAAACTAACATTTAAAGGAACACACACACCAGAAACGTGGAATCATTACAGGGGCCTCCTGCAATTCTCAGCTTTTCTGGCTTCCTTCGTCTGGATCCTGCAGATGCATCCCACTGACAGCAGAACAAGGATTGCTTCTTGCATCGAGGAAGGGACTCCTGTTAGGGGAATATGTCTGCAGGGCAATGCTCCCTCTAAGCTGCGGAGTCTTGTGAGCCAAAATTCTACTTTGTGAGATGCTGGCATTGAAGCTGTGAGCGAGCGATTTGGCGGCTGCATAAATTAATTTGCTCTGGAGCCCTCCCTTCCTGAGCGGAGACAAAAATGTGTGAGCCGGAGGCTAAAAAACTGTGAGCTGGCTCACACTCGCTCAGCTTAGAGGGAGCACTGCTGCAGGGTTCAGCGAGATTCGAGTCCAGAAGCGTCTTAAGAGACTAACAGGCTTTTCAGGGTATCTTATTGATATTTATAGCCTGCCTCTCTCACCTGGACTTGGAGCAGATTACACAGAGTGAACAATGAAGGAGGACTTGGGCTGTAGAACCAACCAGGAGTATCAGAAACAGAACTGAAGCAAGTGTTAGCAGGACACTTAAAGTGATGTGAAATTCCATGATGGGATTAAACACACAGCCAAAGGCTAAGACAATAAACTAAACTTGAAACACAGCAAACTATATGGAGTAGGGCAGGCCACAAACACACGAACACATGAAGCTGCCTTATACCGAATCAGACCCTTGGGTCCATCAAGTGTTGTCTACTCAGATGGACAGCAGCTCTCCACAGTCTCAGGTGGAGGTCTTCCGAATCACCTACCACCTGGTCCTTTTAAGGGGAGATGCCAGCAGGGATTGAACCTGGGACCTTCTGGATGCCAAGCAGAGGCTCTGCCACTGAGCCACAGCCCCTCTTTACAGCTCTCCAGGGTCTCAGGCAGAGGTCTTTCCCATCCCCTCCTGCCTGATCCTTTCAACTGGAGATGCCAGGGATTGAAACTGGGACCTTCTGCATGCCAAGCAGAGGCTCTGCCACTGAGCCACAGCCCCTCTTTACAGCTCTCCAGGGTCTCAGAGGTCTTTCCCATCCCCTCCTGCCTGATCCTTTCAACTGGAGATGCCGGGGATTGAACCTGGGACCTTCTGCATGCCAAGCAGAGGCTCTGCCACTGAGCCACAGCCCCTCTTGACAGCTCTCCAGGGTCTCAGGCTGAGGTCTTTCCCATCACCTGCAGCCCGGTCCTTTTAACTGGAGATGCCGGGGATTGAACCTGGGACCTTCTGCATGCCAAGCAGAGGCTCTGCCACTGAGCCACAGCCCCTCTTTACAGCTCTCCAGGGTCTCAGACAGAGGTCTTTCCCATCCCCTCCTGCCTGATCCTTTCAACTGGAGATGCCGGGGACTAAACCTGGGACCTTCTGCATGCCAAGCAGAGGCTCTGCCACTGAGCCACAGCCCCTCTTTACAGCTCTCCAGGGTCTCAGGCGGAGGTCTTTCCCATCCCCTCCTGCCTGATCCTTTCAACTGGAGATGCCCGGGACTGAACCTGGGACCTTCTGCGTGCCAAGCAGAGGCTCTGCCACTGAGCCACAGCCCCTCTTTACAGCTCTCCAGGGTTTTAGGCTGAGGTCTTTCCCATCACCTGCAGCCCAGTCCTTTTAACTGGAGATGCCGGGGATTGAACCTAGGACCTCCTGCATGCCAGGCAGAGGCTCTGCCACTGAGCCACAGTCCCTCTTTACAGCTCTCCAGGGTCTCAGGCAGAGGTCTTTCCCATCCCCTCCTGCCTGGTCCTTTTTAACTGGAGATGGCGGGGATTGAACCTAGGACCTCCTGCATGCCAAGCAGAGGCTCTACCATTGAACCATAGCCCCCTCCCTTAAGAATTTGTCCAAGTAACTTTGTGAATCAATTCGTACAGCACTGCTCTGTTGCCTGCACAGAAAAGCCCTCTTGAATTATTCAGGCTTGCATAGACTGTGGAAAGCCGGGAGAGGGGGAGCCTTTCTGACCTACTCGGGCGGACCTTTCAAGAATCAAAAGTAGGGATGGGCATGAACCAGGAAAACTGAGGTTCGTGCAGGTTGGTGAATTCGCACGAACCTGTTCGGACCTCCCCCAGTTCATAAAATGATTTGGGTTCGTGCAGCTTCCAAGCAGGGGTGGGGGGAGGCAAACTGAAATGGCTTCGATCTATTAGAATCTCACGCAAGTCGTTTCGGGGATGTCTTTCGCTCCCCCCTGCAGAAGCCAAGGTGGCTCTTGCAACTCAACTCAGAAGACATTTAAATGCCTTCTGAGCTCAGTCGCGTCGTGCCGCCACGCCTGCATGGCTGTAAAGGGCTCCCAATTGTTGCCTTGGGCACCAGCATGTCTGGCCCACGAACCGTCCCCATGAACCGAACGAACTGCCGCAGAAACCATGGCGGTTCGCGGACGGTTCGCGAAACCACACAATCGCATAAACCAGATTTGCAAACCACGAACCGGGCCCCGGTTTGTGACGAATTTTGGTTCGTGCCCATCCCTACTCAAAAGTATCTGCCAGGGGGCGCTTTGACTCTCGAAAGCTCACACCCTGAAAGTCTCGCTGGTCTCTGAAGGTGCTCCTGGACTCGAATGCAGCTCTTCTGCTGCAGACCAAAATGGCTACCCTCTGAACACTGGTTATGGGGCTCTCCGGCAGGTTTACAAGGGAGAAACTGCTGTAACGCAAACCCAAGTATATGCAAAACTTACATGCATTAGAAAGAAAGCCCTGGTTTGCCACCACATGTTAACTGGGCTTTGCTTTTTTCAGCATTATGGGATGGGGGAGATGACCTTCAGGGTATTTAAACTAAAACACAGCTATCTGTAGATTGGAGAAGAGGAAACTGAGGGGGGACATGATTGCTCTTTCTAAATATTTGAAAGGCTGTCATTGGGAGGAGGGCAAGGAGCTGTTCCAGTCGGCAGCAGAGGAGAGGACCAGTGTTCCCTCTAAGCTGAGTTAGTGTGAGTTAGCTCACATTTTTTGAGCCTCCAGCTCACACATTTCTGTCCTAGCTCAGGAAGGATGACTCCAGAGCAAACTGATTTATGCAGCAGCCAAATAGCTGGCTCACAACTTTAATACCAGTAGCTCACAAAGTAGAGTTTTTGCTCACAAGACTCCACAGTTTAGAGGGAACATTGGAGAGGACCCGAAGCAACGGGTTCAAATTACATGCAGAAAGGTATCGGCTGGATGTTAGGAAAACCTTCTTCATGGTCAGAGTGGTTCAGAGGTGGAATCAGCTGCCTTAGGGAGGTGGTGAGCTCCCCTTCACTGGCAACCTTCAAGAAGAGGCTGGATGAATATTTGTCAGGGATGCTTTGGGCTGGTCCTGCGTTGGGCAGGGGGTTGGACTAGATGGTCTGTATGGCCCCTTCCAACTCTCTGTGATTCTATGAATTCCGTGGTCAACAACAGGACAACAGTGGGAGAGCTTCTAGTGTCCTGGCCCCACTGATGGACCTCCTGATGGGAGGTACTTTTGGCCCCTGGTATTTTTGGCCGCTGTGTGACACAGAGTGCTGGACTGGAGGGGCCACTGGCCTGATCCAACACTGGTGTCTCTTATGTTCTTATGGTGCGGGGGGGGGGGGCAACAGTGGAAGGGTTTCTGGAGTTCCGGCCCCACTGATGGACCTCCTGAGGGCCCCTGGTATTTTTGGCCGCTGTGTGACACAGAGTGCTGGACTGGAGGGGCCACTGGCCTGATCCAACACTGGTGTCTCTTATGTTCTTATGGTGCGGGGGGGGGGGGCAACAGTGGAAGGGTTTCTGGAGTTCCGGCCCCACTGATGGACCTCCTGAGGGCCCCTGGTATTTTTGGCCGCTGTGTGACACAGAGTGCTGGACTGGAGGGGCCACTGGCCTGATCCAACACTGGTGTCTCTTATGTTCTTATGGTGCGGGGGGGGGGGGCAACAGTGGAAGGGTTTCTGGAGTTCCGGCCCCACTGATGGACCTCCTGAGGGCCCCTGGTATTTTTGGCCGCTGTGTGACACAGAGTGCTGGACTGGAGGGGCCACTGGCCTGATCCAACACTGGTGTCTCTTATGTTCTTATGGTCAACTGCTGCCATCTTCCGACTTACCAATGACATACTTTTCTCATCAGAAACAAAATCAAAGCCGCCCTGTTTAACATCTGTTGGGGCCAGAAGGCCAAGACTGCCTCTTTTTACACAAATCACAGAATTTTCTACTGGGAATGTCATTCTGTGTCCCATTATTAGTAACACTTAGCACCAATGAAACTGATGGGCAGTAGATTCAGAACGGATAAAAGGAAATACTTCTTTACACAGCAAGTTATTAAAATGTGGAATTTGCTGCCAGAGGATATAGTGAAGGTCGCAAATACAGACAGTTTTAAAAGGGGATAAGACAGAGTCACAGGTCTGATGTCTATCAGTGGCTATTAGCTACGGTGTCTAAAGGGAATCTCCACATTCAGAGGCAGTCAACTTCTGAATCCCAGAGTCAGGAGGCAACATCAGGGGAAAGCCTCGGCCTCCCTGCCCTGTTCTTGGCCCTCAAGAGGAACTGGCTGGCCCCTGTGCGAGACAGGAGGCTGGACTGGATGGACCCTCCCTGGTCTGACCCAGCAGGGCTCTTCTGGCGTTCTTCTCAGGGGAAGGCCTCGGCCTCCCTGCCCTGTTGCTGGCCCTCCAGAGGAACTGGCTGGCCCCTGTGTGAGATGGGATGCTGGATTAGGTGGACCCTCACTGGTCTTCTCGGGGGAAGGCCTCGGCCTCTCTGCCCCTGTTCTTGGCCCTCAAGAGGAACTGGTTGGCCCCTGTGTGAGACAGGAGGCTGGACTGGATGGACCCTCCCTGGTCTGACCCAGCAGGGCTCCTCTGAGGTTCTTCTCAGGGGAAGGCCTCGGCCTCTCTGCCCTGTTGCTGGACCTCCAGAGGGACTGGCTGGCCCCTGTGTGAGACAGGAGGCGGGACTAGATGGACCCTCCCTGGTCTGACCCAGCAGGGCTCTCCTGATGTTCTCCTTAGGGGAAAGGCCTCGGCCTCTCTGCCCTGTTGCTGGCCCTCCAGAAGAACTTGCTGGACACTGTGTGAGACGGGAGGCTGGACTAGGTGGACCCGCACTGGTCTGTTGTTGACCCTCCAGAGGAACTGGTTGGCCCCTGTGTGGGGCAGGATGCTGGACTGGATGGACCCTCACTGGTCTGACCCAGCAGGGCTCTTCTGAGGTTGTCCTCAGGGGAAGGCCTCGGCCTCTCTGCCCTGTTGTTTGCCCTCCAGAGGAACTGGCTGGCAACTGTGTGAATATATTTTAATCACAATTTCCCTGACTTCAGACCAATTTCTCTGACTTCCCCTGACCAATTTTCATTTCCCTGACTTTCCCGAAAGTGGCAACCCTGCCAGGAGTGTGGGAAGGTGCCCGTTCTCCCTCCCCGGGCGGCCCGTTACCTGATGTCTCCAGCAGCTATGAAGCCGCCCGTTACCTGATGTCTCCAGCAGCTATGAAGACGGGTTCTTTGCTCTCCTGACTGGTGATGCTGTCCACGGAGAACTGGGAGATGTTGTCGCAGCTGTTGGTGTGCATCTCTGGAAGCTGGAAGGGAAGGAAAAAAGAGGAACGTGGCTGAACATCTTCCACTTTCCGTTCTGCAAGAGAAGAATGGCTCCCCACCCCTACCCTGGGTTTTGCTCAGCCGAAGACGCTAAACAGACTGCGCCCAAGGAGCTGGTTCTGTGCTTACTATTCCCCCAGGCAGGGGTCATTTCCTGCAGGAGTGCACAGGAGCGGAGCTCTGGCAGTAAAGAGCCCAGGGGGCGGACACATGCAACAAGCTCCACCCCCTGCTCCCAGCAGCCCTCAGTCAGAGCAAGAAGCAGCCAGGTACATTACCTGCGAACCCCCCCCCCCTCGGCCCCACGGTCTGAAACAGTCCAGTGGCACCTTTAAGACCAAGTTTTATTTAGGTACAAGCTCTCCCTCCTCTGCGAGGACAGATCTGCACGTGTCCCCCCCCCCAATAGCTAGCAATCCAAAACAGTCCAGTGGCACCTTTAAGACCAAGTTTTATTCAGGCACAAGCTCTCCCTCCTATGTGAGAACAGATCTGCACGTTTCCCC